ATTTTAAATTGGTATTATTTGGGACATTTGATGCTCTTACAATGGGAGATAAAAATAATTCTGGGGGGTTTTTTGGTTTTTCTTTTTAATCAATTAATACTTGGAACAAAGTTTTGTTTGGGGTTTGATTTGGGGCCTGATTTGGGGTCTGGTCTAGAACTTGGTTAGAGATCTGGTTTAAGGCCTGGTTTTGGTCTGGTTTAGGGCCTGGGTTTGGTCTGGTTTAGGGCCTGGTTTTGGTCTGGTTTAGGGCCTGGGTTTGGTCTGGTTTAGGGCCTGGGTTTGGTCTGGTTTAGGGCCTGGGTTTGGTCTGGTTTAGGACTTGGTTAAAGATCTGGTTTAAGGCCTGGTTTTGGTCTGGTTTAGGGCCTGGTTTTGGTCTGGTTTGGGGTCTGATTTAGGGCCTGGTTTGGAGCCATCTCCAGGGCCCAGCTGCAGAGTTTTCATGCAGCACTTACAGAGAACAAAGTAAAATCATTTTTTCCCAGGATAAATCCCCACATCCCACATTTGCTGTCCCCTCAGGAGCACTCCGAGCTGGACTCTCCTTCACCCACCAGTGGCTTTTGGTTCCCACCTGGTCAGACAAACCCTGCCTGAATAAATTATTTTAAAGCATTGAGAAACCACTTTTGGAAGTGGTGATCAGTGCCAGCTCTCTCCAAAGCTGTGCCAATCACTCTGGAGGATTATTCGGATTATTCCTGGTTTATTTCCCTCTTTTTGGTGCCAACTTCAGCCCCTGCTTTGTGCAACTGCCTGGCAATTCTCAGGTTCAGCAGGAAGGGAAATGATGATAAATAACTGTGCCAAAAAAAAGACAATGGTTTTGAGCTGCTCTGGAGGTTTGGGAAAAGCAGCAAATCCCACAAATTCCCTTTCAAAACTGAGGGAAAAGGGTCGGGTGAGGATGGTATTTCCTGGCAAGGGTTTATCAGGAATAGACATCACACAAAAAGCATCACTTAGTTCTAGTGAGAGTCCTTCAATCACAGCGGGGAAAATGTGGGAAGAGGAGTTGCATAGAAATCCTTTCTGGATTTATAAAAATGTTTGGATCTGGCTTTAGGGGCTGAAAATTGGGACTTTTTGCCCTGAGGATGGATCTGTACAATGGAAAATCCAGTGGTTGTTGTGGTTCCTTGTTCCTTGCATATTCCCCTGGCATAGGGAACGGCTCTGCCCAAAACAGGGCAAACCCAGCCCAGCCATCTGCAGGAGAATCCTGGGAATGATGGCAAAAACCTCCTGGGAAATATGGCAAAAATGTCCTGGGAATTATGGCAAAAATCCCCTGGAAATTATGGCAAAAAAATGGGAATTACAGCAAAAAATCTGCTGGGAATTATGGTAAAAATGTCCGGGGAATGATGGCAAAAACCTCCTGGGAATTATGGCCAAAAACCCCTGGGAATTATGGCCAAAACCTCCCTAAACTGTCGGGGCTGGGGAGGAATAGTGGGAATTCATGGCCAAGCTCTGCTCTGGACCAGGCAGGTGGAGGCATTTCCCTTAGGAAAGCACAAAATTCCATTTTATATGGAATGGGAATAGGTTGGGAGGGACCTTAAAGCCCATCCAGCTCCAACCCCAGCACCTTCCAGGGTGCTCCAAGCCCCATCCTGATCACTTCCAAGGATGAGGCAGCCAGAGCTTTTCTGGGAATCTATGCCAGGTCCTGCCCACCTCACTGCAAAAAAAACTTCATAATACCTCATCTAAATCAATCAATTTTTAGGTCAAGCCCATTCCCCGTTGTCCTATCAGGAATCCCTATTTTTGGAGCTGCAGGACAAGGTGCCCTTGGCTGGCCAGCAGTGACTCGTGGCAGGGCAAGCTGTGCCCTCGCCGTGCTCCTCCAGGCGTGGCCCAGCTCCCTTTCCTCAGGAACACAATGATCTTCCCTGACCTTCCAGCTCAAGCTGTTCCCAGAAAAAAAAAGGAGCTCCAGCTGCTCCACAAAATCCCTTTTGCACCAAGCCTTGCAGTTGGTTTGGGAAACTTGCCTGGGAAAAGCTGCTTTGTGAGCTCAGCTCGGAGTCTTCCAGGAGTCCTGGCCCTCTCAGGAATTTAAAATAGCAAAAAATTAAATGTAAAATCCAAGGATCTTTTGGGATGCTGGTGAAGGTGAGCAGGGCTTGTGTCCTGTTGCAAACCCTCCCTGAGATGGCGAAATCCCATCAAATTATTCCCAATAATTTTGAGGATTCAGGAGGCTGGATGGGAATGCAGATTCTTGGGAATGAACCCAGACTCGGGTGTGTCCATCTGGAGGGACAGGGAATGAGGGACACTATTCCAACAGGAACGATGGGATTCTCCCAGGGAATGAGGGACACAATCCCAACAGGAACGATGGGATTCTCCCAAGGAATGAGGAGCACAATCCCAACAGGAACTATGGGATTCTCCCAGGGAATGAGGGACACAATCACAAGAGGAGCTGTAGGATTCTCCCAGGGAATGAGGGACACAATTCCAACAGGAACGCTGGGATTCTCCCAGGAAATGAGGGACACAATTCCAACAGGAACGCTGGGATTCTCCCAGGAAATGAGGGACACAATCCCAACAGGAACTGTGGGATTCTCCCAAGAAATTAGGGACAAAATTCCAACAGGAACGATGGGATTCTCCCAGGAAATGAGGGACACAATCCCAAAGGGAGCTGTGGGATTCTCCCAAGGAATGAGGGACACAATCCCAACGGGAGCTGTGGGATTCTCCCAGGGAATGAGGGACACAATCCCAACGGGAGCTGTGGGATTCTCCCAGGGCTCCTCCCGTGCTGCTGCCTGGCACTGAGCATCCAGCACTGCTCCAAATCCAGTTTGCAGGAATTCATTGGGATTCCAGGCTCTGGAGAACACAAATATAAAGTCAGCCTCATTATTTTGTTGGGAATAGTGGGGCCTGGAATATTTTAAATCCATATCAAGCACAACTGGTGGTGCCCAAAATTCCGTATGAAGCTCAGCTTGCATAAAAGCTCCCATGGATTAAATCAAACATTCCAAGAAACAACAGCAAATCCCACATTCCCTTTGGTTGTGTTACAAAAGGAGACCACGAGCTCCTTGGAGAAGCTCCTTGGTTAACCCTTTGTTTGCCTGGATTTTCCCTGGATTTCCAAAGGCTGGGGATCATGGGGAGGTTTTACAACTGTGAAACCATTCCCACTTTTCCTGCCTCTCCAGCTTCCCTGCAGCCTCTCCAGGGGGGCTCTGAGGTGCCCAAACCTTCCTTTCTCCAGGGAAATATTCCAAATTTTCACAGCCTCTTCTCTCCTACCTGGGTATTGTTGAATTCCCTCTTTTTTGGACTCACTATTCCTCATTTTTCTGCACTGATTTTTGTCTTTTTTTTTTTTTTCCTCCCACATGGACAAAATCCAAGCCCTATAAATCCACTGTGTAAACAGGAATATCCTTCCCTGAATGGGATTATTATTCCCAAAAAGCAAGCTGTCATTCCAAGAGGCAAAATCCTGTTTATTCTGGAGACACCAGTGCTGCTTACATAAAATCCAGACTAAATTAAAAGCTCCCATTTGGACCATTCCTGGACAGTTTGGGGCCAGTTTTCCAGGTTTTCAGACCCCCAAATCCTCTTTTTTCTTCAGTTTAGTCCCTGTTTTCCTCTCCATGTGTGGAAGATCCTGGCTGCAGCCTCACCCCCTGTGGAAGCAGAGCTGTGCCCACTCAAATTCCAGATGTTTTTGGCCTTGGAGAGCTTGGAGGAGCTGGGATCCAAAGGGTGCCCCATGGAGAGCTGGATCCTGCTCGGGATCACGCCAGGACAGCGGGAAAACTTTTTTTAAATAAAAATATTTTCATTAATAAAAACCTTTTCTTTATAAAAGTATTTTATTTATAAAACTATTGTATCCATAAAATATTCCACTCATAAAGTATTTACCTTATAAAAATATTTTTTCTTTTCAACTTTTAAATTTATTTCTATTCAAAAATCCTTTTTTAAATTATAAAAATCATCACCTGCTCATTTCCTTAAACTCCACCAATTCCAAACCATTCCTGACAAAACTCATCCGCCAAGGATTTTTTTCCCCTATTTATCCCAGCTCCACCCATGAATTTAAAGGTTGTTTTCCTTCTTTTATTTGGAAAAGCTGTTCCAGAGCTGTGTCAGCTTTTCCATGGAAACAGCCCCGCCTCTGCTCCAGGGCTCAGAGCTGTGGGGAGCACTGGGAGCACTGGGAATTAGGGCAGAATTTCTGGGAGCTCCAATGGATCAGGAAAACTCCAGGGAAGGGAATATTTAAACCTGGAATGGGAAAGGCACAGAGAGGGCAAAACTCCCCTTTCCCTCCTGGTGTTCCCAGGCTGATCCAACATTCCCTTTTCCTTCTCATCCCTGCTGAAGGAAGGATGCTGGAGCTGCCATGGGATATCTGGATCTTCCACTCCTGCTGCAGTTCATGGGAAGCAGTCAGGAGAAAAAGAAAAGGAAAAGGAAAAGGAATGGGAAAATGAATGGGAAAAGGAATGGGAAAAAGAAATTCAGAGCCCAAAGTGACATTAAATAAATCCCCAAAGTGTTTTTCCTAAGGAAGTAACTGAGGGTAAGAAAGTGTGGCCACAAAAATCATGGAATTCTGAAATGGTTTGGGTTGGGAAGGACCTTCAAGCTGATGCATGTCCATGGGCAGGGAAAATTCCCACCATCCCAGGGTGCTCCAAACCCAATCCAGCCTGGCCTTGGACACTGCCAGGGATCCAGGGGCAGCCACAGCTTCTCTGGGAAATGCATTCCAGCCCCTCCCAGGGGAGAATTCCTTCCCAGTATCCCATCTACATCTCCCCTCTTCCACCTCAAAGCCATTCCTGCTTTTCCAGCTCATGCACAAATCCCAGAGATTTTATTGTGGCTTCGTTGTTTCCTTTTTTTCCTTTCTCCTGCTTAAAAAGATGCCGAAAACTCCAAGAAAAATTCTTTCCATATGATCCCAGCACTTTCCCTCTTGGCTGGAACTCTGGATGTGGTTTTGGGTTCTGTGGTGGAGTTTTTTTCATCCTTTTTTTTTTTTTTAATCCAAATTTTTTTTTTTACTTTTTATTTCCATCCCTGGGAGAGGCCCTGCAGAATTCCAGACTGGCAGCGAATCCTGAGGAAACCGGAGTGGGACAAAGGCTCAGGAGCCCGGCACAAGTTGGTGCAAGCAAAGAAAACCAGGGAAAAAATTCCTTTTGCCAAGGTTTCCTAAGGATCCAGCCTGACTTTCTGTGTTTCTCTTGGATCCCAGCACGGAAGCTGCAGCCTGGCTGGAGAGCTGCAGCAGCAGCAGCGGAGGAACAGCAAGGGAAGGAAAATCCAGGGATTCTGAGGGACCAGGTGAGTTACAGGGATCGGGATAAAGGGATGGGATCCCCTGTGGGAACATTCCCACCCTGCTGAGCAGATTCCTTGGGAAAAGCAGGAATGAGGGGGTTTGGGAGTGCTGGGCTGGCTTTAATTTGTCCCAGTTAAAATTCCCTATCCCATTATCCACCCTGCACACCCCAGGACAGAGCTTTTCCCAGCGGGATGCTGCTCCCGGTGGGATGGTGATGGACACAGGGCAGGAAGGAGCCGCTTCCAGGAGTCTCCACAGGTTTGGAAACTTCCAGGGAATTCGCTTCTCCAGCCCTTTGGAATGTGCTGCTCGCTCCGGGATGGGATCGGGATCCAGGCACCGCATCCTGGGGGGAAAATCCCACCCGGGAGCCTCTGCAGGGACAACCCCGAATTCTCGCTGAATTCCCAGCACGGGCAAATCCCGGGAAAGCTGCTTCTCCATCGGGAAGGGTGAAGGAGGGATCCATGCCTGCCGATTCCATCAGGGGGGTTTGTCCTGCGGGAGAAGCTGCCCTGGGAATGACTTTTACTGTAATTCCTGCTGAATCACCGCCTGGGCTGGCTCGGGAGCCGGGAATTCTGCCAGGGAGCCGCCCAGCCTGGAGCAGGGACAATTCCAGGACACTGCAGGAGTCAGAGGTGCGGGCAGGGACACGGAGAGGGAGAGAGGGAAGAGCTGTTCCTTGGGAATCGGGAACATCCTCCTGCTCCCTGTCCGTATTCCTTGGGAATCGGGAACATCCTCCTGCTCCCTGTCCCAGTGCGGGGTGGAATCCTGGGATAAAGAGAAGGAAAAAGGGAAAAGCTCTTCCCTTGGGAGTCACAAACCCCCTCCTGCTCCCTGTCTGTGTTCCCTTGGGAATGGGGAACCTCCTGCTCCCCGTCCCAGGGCAGGGAATCGGGAACATCCTCCTGCTCCCTGTCCCAGTGCGGAGTGGAATCCTGGGATAAAGAGTTCCCTTGGGAATCACAAACCTCCTCCTGCTAGGGCAGGATGGAACCTTGGGAATTTGCAGGAATCCAGGTGCACAGGAGTGTTTCCATCCAGGCACAGCCTCTCCTCCTGCAGCACCCCCATGGAATTGTGTTAAATCCGTCCAAACCTCCCTTGGTGAAGGGATATTTCCTTGGGAACCTCGTCTCTTCCCATTCCTGGTGAATTCCCAGCAGGTGAGCTTGCTGCTCACGGCTGGCTCCTCCCAGGATGGAGGAATTCAGGGAATCACCCCCACTGGAAACAGGCCCAGGCTTTAAAACATCAGAAATTTAAAAATAAATTTTAAATAATGGATAATTGCAAAAGGAGCTACAAATTCCCAGACAAATATTCACCCAGGCACTGCAAATCCAGCTGCAGCTCCACTCCTGGATCTCTCCATGGCTGGATCCTGTTTTTCCCTCCATTCCTGCCTCTCTCACAGCTCCAGCAGCACGTCCAGCCCCTCTTCTCCATCATCCCAGGGTTGGATAAACACCCCGGACAAGGACCTCGCTCATCCTCCAACCACGACAGGCAGTGGCAATTCCTAACCCACTTCCTTTTTGGGATACAAATATTCTTGCCTGGGAGTTCTCAAATCACTTCTGCCACAGCCCAGCTCCTGCAGGATCTCCGGGATATTTTATCCGACAGGAGCTGCCGGAGCTCGGCACCAGAATCCAGCAGCATTTTCCTTGGAAAACGCACAAAATCCTCCAGTGTTTTGGGCTTTTCCACAAGGAGCTGCCCACTAAGAAATTTTAGATCCTCCTGGGGGAGAAAATCAAACAAATCCTGGGGAAATCCTTTCCAAGAGGAAGTGCTGTGTCGGACAATCCCAGCCCTGAGGATGCCGCGTTTCCTGCTGCTCCCGATCCAAGGAGCTCCGGAGCCGTGAGGAGCTTCAGGCTGGAGAGAAGACAAAAGGTAAAAAGGCACAACTGGAATATTTTCCTTATTTCTGGAATGGTGCTGAGCTTCGGAGCTGGCACATCCGTGAGTTTTCCATCAAGGTTTTGGGTTTAACTGCGGGGTTTTAATCGAGGTTTGTCCTAAATTAAAAGGGGCAGTGCCTGGTGTTGTCCATGAATTTAAAGCAAGGATAGTTATGGATTTCTTTTTCAAGTGAAGTCCTAGGAATAACCCTAGGAAAGAAAACACCAGCAGGAATTCAGAGTGTGGCTCAGGGAACCCCAGAATTCCTGAGGTTGGAAAAGTCCTCCAAGACCATCAAGTCCATCCTGGGCAGGTTTTTAGGATTTTCTGCCCATTTAATCTTCCTGTGCTTCCATTTCCAGCTGGAAACTCAAAGATGACTTTAAAAATTAATGGAAATTAAAAAGGATTTAATAACATGGAATTCAAGCAATGAATGCTGATGGAAAAGGGGGATTGATCCCTCCTCCAGCTGCTACTGGAATGAGGTACAATTACGAATCCAAAGGATTTCAGGAAAGAACATTCCCTGCTCTCAGAGGCAAAGTCATTATTTTCCTGCTAATGAGGATTTCTTGGATTTCCAGGAAGCTGGAACAGTGTGGCTGACACTTCTTTTCCAGCAGGGAAGAATGGGAAGAAAACATTTCCCAGGGATGCTGGTCCAATCCCACTCCTGACAGGTTTTTCCTCCTTTTTTCCCCACCTGGCTCATTTTGTTCCCAGGGAAGCAGCTCCAAGGCTGGAAGTTCTCCCTCTGGGTGTCCATGGAAAGAAATCTATGAATCCTGGATTTCCAGTGGAATCCAGGCCATCCAGCACCCCCTTCCCGACCTATTCCAGGAATTCCAGCTGGTGGAAGAGGAGCCATTCCCAGCCCAGGGTCAGCCCGAGTCCATCTCACTAATTGGACTTTGGAGAAGATCCACAGAGGCATCGATCCAAGAAATCTGTCCTGGATGAGGCTCCACTGCAATCACTGCAATGACACTAATTACACATGGAATGGGAATGAGTGGCCAATCCTCAGCTCCAATCCTTCCCTGGGAACAGGTCAGTGAGGAGCCAGAGAAAATTCCTCTTCTTTTCACCTGTTCCTAGGGAGGGATTGGAGCTGATTCTGGGAGAAATCCAGGGGAAAAATGCCTTTGATGTGGAAAACAGAGGAATTTTCTCTGTCTCTTCACTGACCTGTTCCTAGGGAAGGATTGAGCTGAATCTGGGAGAAATCCAGGGGAAAAAAATGCCTTGATGGAGAAAAAAGAGGAATTTTCTCCCTGGATTTCTCCCAGAATCAGCTGAAATTTTCCTTAGAAACAGGTAAATGAGGAACCATAGAAAATTCCTCTTTTTTCCCCATATGAGGCATTTTTTTCCCCCCTGGATTTCTCCCAGTATCAGATGAAAATCAGAGGGATGAAAATCTAACCAAGGATTCCCAAACCCCAGGGTTTGTGCCGAGCAAATCCAGTTTGGTGCAGCTCTTTGGGTTTCCATTCCACACATGGGAAAATCAAACTGGAAAATACACACAGGAATTCCAATTGGAAGAGAATATGGGAATGGATAAACCATGGAAAGAAGTCACTGTCAAGACGCTGCCAGAGAACATTTAAAGACAGAAATGCTTTTGATTTCTGTTGCATTTGTTTTTCTTCTGGGCTTTTCCTCCCCCAAAAAATCAGGTTTTGGCTCTATATTTAAATAAAATTCCATATTTTGCCCTTCATTTTTAATTTTTTGGGATACTGAGGCACCAAACAAGCCAACAGAGCATGACTTTTGTCTTTTCCCCAGAAATTTCCTGTAGCGGTTGTTCCAAGAGCTTTTCCAGCCGAGCTTCTGCTCCCAGCAGGTTTTGTTTGGCTTGGGATTTTTTTCCCCCCGTCCTTTTGTTGACCTGGTGTCTCTCAGCATCTGTCACAGGTAATGCCAGCCAGGAATCGCCTTTCCCAGCGCTCCGAGGGGCACCATTCCCACCCGGAGTCTCCTGGTGCCACTCCAGGATCTGTTAATAATTAACCCCAAGGAAAGCACTCGCCAGGTGGCCCTGATTGGGATCGCCCCGTTAATGGTTTGTGTTCCCTCTCCTCCCCAGCTGCTCCCGAGGGAGGATGAGCGCCGTGATCCTGCTGCTCCTGCTTTCCGCCGGGAATGCCGCATCCCAGCCGGAGAAGGCGCTGCCCCGGCGGCGCCTGGCGTGCGTGAGGTGCTGCGGGCCCTCGGAGCAGCCCGTGTCCATCTTCTCCCAAAGGTCCGCCAGGATGAGTGGCCAGCCCGAATATTCCCTGCCCAAAATCCAGCCCACCATCGACATCACCATCCTCAAAGGTGGGTGGGTGCAGCTCGCTCCCGGCCTTCTCCTCGCTGCTCTTCCTTGGTGCTTCCCGACAGCAAAACTCAGCCCAAAATTCAAGAACAAAAGCAAGGGGTGCCAAAAAATGCCCAAAATCAGGTCAAGGGGTGCCCAAAATGTGGTCGTGCCCAATACGAGGTCAAGGGGTGCCCAAAATGTGGTTGTGCAAAAAGGTGCGCAAAATAAGGTCAAGGGGTGCCCAAATGTGCCCCAAAGTGCCAAAACAAGGTCAAGGCGTGTCCAAAACTGTGCCCAAGCAAAAGTCAAGGGGTGCCCAAAAGGTTGTCATGCCCAAAACGTGTCCAAAATTACGTCAAGGGGTGCCCGAAATGTGGTCATGCCCAAATGTGCCCAAACCCAGGTTAAGGGACGCCCCAAAAATGGTTGTGCCCAAAACAGGGTGAAGGGGCACCCAAAACAAGGTCAAGACGTGTCCAAAATGTGCCCAAAGGTCAAAGGGTGCCCAAAAGGTTGTCATGCCCAAAATGTGTCCAAAACAAGATTAAGGGGTCCCCAAAATATGGTGGTGCCCAAACATGGCCCAAAGTTAATCCTTCTGGGAATTGGGCAGCTGCTGATATCTGATTGATATTCCTGGGTTAATCCTTCTGGGAATTGGGAAGGTGCTGATATCTGATTGATATTCCCAGATTAGTCCTTCTGGGAATTGGGAAGGTACTGATATCTGATTGATATTCCTGGGTTAATCCTTCTGGGAATTGGGAAGGTGCTGATATCTGATTGATATTCCCGGGTTAATCCTCCTGGGAATTGGGAAGGTGCTGATATCTGATTGATATTCCCGGGTTAATCCTCCTGGGAATTGGGAAGGTGCTGATATCTGTTTGATATTCCTGGGTTAATCCTTCTGGGAATTGGGAACCTGCTGATATCTGATTGATATTCCTGGGTTAATCTTTCTGGGAATTGGGAAGCTGCTGATATCTGACTGATATTCCCAGATTAGTCCTTCTGGGAATTGGGAAGCTGCTGATATCTGACCGATACTCCCAGGATGGGCAAACATTGCCCCAGCAGCTCCTCTGCCACCTGTCTCCAGGCCATTCCTGGAACCTGAACTCCCCATCTTTGTCTTTCCCCGCTTTTCCCTCCCCGTGGCAGGCGAGAAGGGCGAGATGGGCGAGAGGGGATTCCCTGGAGCAGCCGGGAAGGCGGGAGAGCGGGGATCCCGCGGGCTGAGCGGCCGCAAGGGCCAGAAGGGCCAGCCCGGCCCCCAGGGCCACTCCTGCAAGCAGCTCTTCGCCGCCTTCTCCGTGGGCCGCCGCAAGCCCCTGCACAGCTCCGACTACTTCCAGCACGTCACCTTCGACACGGAATTCGTCAACCTCTACCAGCACTTCAACATGTTCTCCGGGAAGTTCTTCTGCTACGTCCCCGGGATTTACTACTTCAGCCTCAACGTGCACACCTGGAATTTCAAGGAGACCTACGTGCACCTGATGAGGAACGAGCAGGCCGTGGCCATCCTGTACGCCCAGCCCAGCGACAGGAGCATCATGCAGAGCCAGAGCCTGATGCTGGATCTGCAGGAAGGGGATGAGGTTTGGGTCAGGATGTTCAAGAGGGAGAGGGAAAATGCCATTTACAGCGAGGAGTCGGATGTGTACATCATCTTCAACGGGCACCTGATCAAACCCGCCCTGGAGTAGGAGCTCCTCAGCTCCAGGGAAAAGCTTTGGGCCATCCAGCAGTGTCTTCCCTCTAGAAGTGCATCTCTAATTCCATCTGGAATGGTTGTAGCCCTGGAAGAGCTGTTTTTCCACATCTGTGTGGGTCCAAGCTGCGCAAGGATTCCAGAAGGTTCCCAGCTCCCTCTGTGGCCCCTCAGGAGCATCCCTGGAGTTTGTCCATTTGACAGCAAAATTTTCCCTTCTTTCTCTGCATGTCCCACTCCATTTGGAATATTTGCAGCCCTTGGAAGGGTGGTTTTTCCACTCATTTGTGGATGGAGGGAACTGTTCCAACTGCACAAGAATTCCAGAAGTTTTCCAACTCTCCGTGTAGCCCCTCAGGAACATCCCTGAAGAGTTGCAAAGTTGGCAGCAAAAATTTCTCTTCTTTCCCTGCATCTCTCATTCCATTTGGAACATTTGCAGCCCTTGGAAGGGTGGTTTTCCACCCCTGTGTGGACAAAGGTGGCTCTTCCACCTGCACAAAAATTCCAGAAGATTCCCAGGTCCCTGTAAAGACCCTCAGGAACATCCCTGAAGAGTTTGCCAAGTTGACAGCAGAAATTCCACCTTGCTCTTCATCTCCTGCCCCATTTGGAATATTTGAAGAGTGGTTCTCCACCCCTTTGTGGATGGAGGGAACTGTTCCACCTGCACAAAAATTCCAGAAGATTCCCAGCTCCCTGTGTAGCCCCTCAGGAATATCCCCAAAAATGTGCCAACTTGGCAGCAGAATTTCCCTCCTTTGCTGTGCTTTAGATAAGGAATTACAATAATTAGGATATAATTATGATAAAACAATTATCCTTAAGGAGTGATTATCCAGGTGCTAATTAAGGAATTTTGTTATTCCTGTAAAAATCTCGGCTAATTAGAGCCACCCCCTCAGCAGCACCAGGTTGGCTCCTCTCAGGCAAGGATTTTGGCATTAAAATCAATATTTTGCACAGGAATTAATCCCAAATTCCGGGTTGGTTCCATTCTGTGTCATATTCCATGGTTCCAGCAGAATGGTGGAATTAGAGCAATAACAGCAGATGGATTCGGGAAAGATTTTCCAGGGAAACAGAGCTCGGTACAACCACAAGCTCCAGAGAAAAACTTCCCAGAAGAACATCCAGCCTGCCTGGGAATGTGCTTCCCAACTGAACAAAATGCTGGGAATTTGGGATTTGCCAAGCTGGGATTTCAGGCTGCGCTCGCATCTGGACGTTCCCATTCTGGAGCATCATCATTTCAGGAAAATGGAGGAAAAACTGGAAAGAAAATTATTTGGGGTTGTTTTTGTTGTTTTAGGGATTTAGGGTTTTTTTTTTCCTCAGAAATTACTGACTTGGAGCACCATAATTTCTGGAAAATGGAGGAAAATTGGGAAAGAAAAATGAGTTTTTCTTCAAGCAGTGGTTTTTAGGGATTTGGGGGTGTTTTTCTCAGAAATCACCATCTTATGGCACCATCATTTATGGAAAGTGGAGGAAAAACTGGAAAGAAAAATGAGTTTTTCTTCAAGCAGTGGTTTTTAGGGATTTGGGGGTTTTTTCCTAAAAATTTATGCATAGAACCATGGTGTATGCAGCAAAACCCCACCATTTATCCCATTCCTTCTTTTCCTTTCTCCCAGTCTCTCGTTTGCTTTCCAAATCTTTTATACAAAGAATCCAGGGAAATTCTTGCCAGGAAAACTCTTCCATGGATCTCACCTTCCCCAGCTTTGGGAAAAGTAGCTGAAATAAAGATTTTGCTTTCTGTACCTGGGGTTGTTTCTCTCTTTTCCATAAGTTTTTCCATAAGTTTTTCTGCATTCCCTGGCTAAAAGCACCACACTGACTCTGGAAAAGTCTGTGGGGGCAATTTTAGCTCCTTTAATCCAAAGAATTCCCAAAAGGAAGCTGTCACCAACTCCTTTTCCTCTAAATCAATCCCAAATCTTCAAGATCTCCCAAATTTCCTGAAAATAGGGAGTTTTAAAGTAGAAAATTCCAGATAAAAATGGATCCCAAGCCTTGAGACCTCGAATGTACTCCTGCTTCCCTCACCCTGCATCCTGAAAAGGAAACCTGGGAAATTTCCATGATTTTAAAGCCACATTGGAAAGCTCCACATCTTTTTCCTTCCTTTTCCTATTTCTTATCCCATCCCTAGTTTGGAAAAAGAATTCCCGGGCTGGCAGGAGCTCTGTGGTGGAGCAGGAGCATTCCCAGCTGCTCTGGAATTCCTCATTCCTCACAGATCCAGCAGTTTTCCCACAATTTTGGCTCTTTCCTATTTCCTGTTTGCTGCACTGACTAAAATTACAATTAAAAATTCCCTGATCATTTCCAGAGCTGGAAAAACCACACCCAGAATGTTTTCAATCCACAGAATTCCAGAGAAATCCCTTTCTCCTGGGAATCAGCAAAAAATCCATCATTTTTATCCCTAAATAAACTCACCTCCAGGAGAAATATTTGGATTTTGGAGCTCTCATGACTCATCCCAGTGCCAGGAGCAGGGGAATCATTAAATCCATGTCAATTCCAGGGGCACAACAACCTTTCCAAGCATCCAAAGGGATCCACAGGATCCAAATTATCCCTAATGACCTAAAAACCACCAGGAATCTTAACCTGACAAGATTTTGGGGGAAATGGAATATGTCAAAGCTGAATGTTCCCATATTTAAATCACTTTTCCAGGGCTGGACACCTCTTTTGGGAAAGAAATTTCCCTAAAATCCAACTTAAACCTCCCCTGCTCTGCTTGTTGAGCTCCCTCTATCCCAGGAATGCCACAATCCTCATTCCCATCTCCTCCCAGCCTGTTTTGGGGATAAAGAAGGGAATAATGAAATCTGCATCAATTCCAGGGGCAAAATCCAGAGGGTGCCCACAAGATCCAGATGGCCTAAAAACCACCAGGAATCTCAGCCTGCTGAGGTTTTTTTGGGAATTAATTAGAATCTCTAAAAGCTGAACGTCCAAAGATTTTCTCACTGCCACCTTTTAAAATCCCTTTTCCAGGCTGGAATCCCTAAAATCCAAGTTAAACCTCCTCTGCTGTGTGTTGTTCTGCTCCCTCTATCCCAGGAATGCCACAATCCCTAATTCCCATCTCCTCCCAGCCTGTTTTGGGGACAAAGAGCCTGTTTGGGTGTGGTTCTGTCCCTCTGGATGGATTTTTCTCGGGAATAACAACAGGCACCGGTGCCTTGGGCAAACTCTTCCCTTCCTCTCCAGGAGGAAACTTTGGATTTACGACAGGAACGAGATAACATCGAGGCCGATAGGGAAACCAGGCAACAAATCAGGCTAATGGATTGCCTCTGGATGAGTGGAATGGGATTTAATGACTCCAGCAAGGATCTATCCCACCCCAAGGATTGGGAGAAAATGCAGGAGATGGGAGGGGAAAGTGGGAAAACAAACAGAGAGCGCTTCCAAGTCAGGGAGCAATCCTGGCTAAAAGCTCCGATGGAGACTTTGGCCTTCCACACCCTCCCTGCACAGACTGGGAATGGCAATTCCCAAACCTGGACAGGCTGGGAATGGCAATTCCCAATCTCTGGACTGTCTGGGAATGGTAATTCCTAAACCTGGACAGGCTGGGAATGGTAATTCCTAAACCCAGAACAGGCTGGGAATGGCAATTCCCAATCCTTGGACATGCTGGAAATGGCAATTCCCAAGCCCAGAACAGTCTGGGAACGGCAATTCCCAAATGTGGACAGGCTGGAATCTCCATCCTTCCCTGGAATGAGAGATGGGATTCATTTGGGGGTTCCCTGTTCTTGCTCCCTGCTCTCTTCCTGTAAATCCTCAGGATTCCTCATTCTCCTCCTGATTTTCCAGAGTGGTTTTATTTTTCCTGGCAAGATCCAGGCTGCAACACCCGGAAAATCCCTGTGTGCTCTCTGCCCTCAGCACCTTCTCCTTGCTTAATTTTGGGAGATTTCCTGTTCTCTCCTGGGTTTTTCAGTAAAATCCCTGGGATTAGGATGGGGCAGGGCCTTCCTGTAGGGAAAACTCTGGATTTGTGTCCTTGCAGAGATGTGGGAAGAGGTTCATCCCCTCAGGAATGGGCAAACAGGGAGATGAGCTGGATCCCTGGGATGAGGAGGGATTTGCTTCCCTGTTCCCAAAGCTGTGGATGTTCCCTCCCCAGCTGCATTTTGTATTCCAGCCAAAAGCTGCTGCAGAGATTTGGGCACCCAACAATTCCTGCCAGACATTGGGAATGACAGCCTAATGCTATTTCCAGGGAAAATCACATTAAAATCAGCTCTCCAAGGAATTGCTTCGTCTCTGGATCGTTCTGGAAGCAAATCCCTCTCTGCTGGCTCCAGGTTGGAGTGCTGCAATCTCAGCCACCCCAAGGCCATTTCAGGAGTGAAATTCCATGTGCAGGAAACTGAAGAATTGCCACTGGATTTGGGATTTTGCTGATTCAAAACCCAGCGCAGAGCCCGTGAATTCCCAGGGGATCATATTGGAATCATCTCCCTTTTTCCATGCAAGGAAGAACCCAAAACAATTCATCCACCAGATCATTTCTCCCTGTTTTTCTGCGTTTTCATTCCTTTTAAGTCAGAATCCTGAATTTTTCCAGCATGGAAAAGACACCTGGACAGGGATGGGCTCAATGCTGCCAGAGATCTTTTCCCACCTCAGCGATCCTGTGATTCCAGGCATGCAGAACCCTCCATTCCCATTTCCTGCCTCTGTCTGTGTGGCCCAGCTCAGCTCCCAGGTTTTTATCAGGTTAGAAATCCACAGATCTGCTTTTCCCTCCCTGAAAACGTGCTGGAAAAATCCAAACACCATCGAGTGCCATGAATTAATTCCATGGAAATGCTTCTGATTCCTGTCAGGAGCCAGGCACAGACACGTCAGGAAATAAAAGAATTCCAAGTGTGGGATGGGGGCCCGTCAGCCCTGTCTGGCACCCGGCATATGGGGCTGGAATCTGTGGAGAAACGGGACAGGGATGCAAACAGGATGCTC